TCCTCTTCTTATTGGCCCTCAATGGCCTCTCCCCAGGTCCTTCATTTTAGCCACTAAATTACTCTCAAATAGAATCTTTTTTGAAAATCCAGCAAGCTGTTGTTTTTGAAATTCAACAAATTTAGTTTTTTTTTTTTTTTTTTTCATTCTACAAACCCTAGAAGTTATCTTTTGTCTTTTTAGAACCCTAACACTAAAACATATTCCAGCCCTAAACCCACCACAAATCCAAATGGAGGTGATTTTGTCATAATTTTCCTAAGAGTACAGTTATTTAAATTTAATGTCTCCCAAATGAAACACAATTTGTACGTTATATTGATGATAATTTATACTTTAATGTACATTTAACATTGACATGAGCGCTAATCAGTCTTTTGAGAACATGGCATATGACACCCAAACAGAATATATATAACCATTAACCAATGATTTTGACATATCATATGTTGGTAGCCTTTTGATAATCATTGAAGTATGTCAATAATAGTAAAAATACTAGGGAAATGGATGTCTCAATTTTGTCGTTGCACATATCAATCAGAATATCTAATGAGACACTATATATTGTATGTCTATGGATAATTGAAATAATTGAGTTACTATGTAATGGTATATAGTTGAACCACTTGTTGCTCTTTAACATATTTCTTTCCTTTTTTTTTTAACTATCTTCAAGTTGTTCAATTTTGTGGTTGGAGCTTATTTATTTTCTTTCTCAATTTGTGGTCGTCATCATATTTTATTAACACATTTTATAATGAATATTTATTCATTATATATGAAGGATTAAAGAAAGTATGTTTGATGTAGTCTGTCTAATGAGGATATTGACATGATATTCGTTGATTTTGATAATATCATAACCTTAAAATGTAGGTTGGTGGTTTAACCAAAGTTATAGCCCTTGAAAGAGTGGAATGGATGGGTAGAACTTTCATACCCAGCCGAGACAAATGGCACAAGGCTTTGTTGAGTGGGATAAATTGAATTGAGTTGTGTTGAGAGGGGGGTGGGGGGAAACCTGAGGTGGTACTTTAAATAGTGCCTCACATATCAACTAAGGAGTTGAATGCTACTAAAGTAGTGCCCTTTTATATGGATGCCCTTGTCACCATTTGTCCATGGTTCTTGTATGACATCATATCAATTATTAATGTTCAATCCAACATCCATACACATTTTTGCTAGCTATTCTACAACATATAAGAGAGAAGATATGATAGAATTCCTTGGCATCATTCGGTTTTTCCTTTAATTGGGAAAGAATAAACAAGTTGCTCTATTTCAATCCTAATACTATGATTTGATTTCTAGAAGGATATAACTGGAGGATGGGAGATTATTTCATGTTATGGTGTTTGGCACAACAAACATAACATGAAATAAGGCAAGTAAAATTCTTAATAAAACTGAATGCATATCATAATTGGTCCACCTTGAAACTAGGAATTTTGAATTTTTTTGAGGTTCATGCAGAAGTCCATTGCCGTGGAAACCAACCTGAATTGGCATGTCATTGTGTCTCGTTATGTGTTTATGAAAATGTCCTAGAAGGGGGTGAATAGGACAGTTCTTTTGTTTTTTCTTCACCAGTCCTCAATGACCAATCTCAATTTTTCTAACCATTTCGTATGTTTAAAACTTAGTAAGTGATTCAATGTGATAGAAAATATCTATCAAAGGTTCAAGTTTTATTTACCTTCTCGGTTGAAGTATCCATGAATCATCCAAACAACTGGTGACTTACAATGGGCACGCCAGTACCCACCTAAATTCTCCTCACAAAGACAATCTCTAGGATTTGAAGAATGTTTCTCCTAGTCTAACCTAAAACCCACTAATCTACCTATGTCTCCTATTCAAGTATTACACTTGCATTTGATGAAGGTTTCTCCTAGGCTAACCTACATGCTACTAATCTACCTAATATTTTGTCTTGAAGAACAATACTACTATTCTTTCTAGGTTTCACACAAGGGGCTCACCTAAAACCCACTACTTCAAGTCTATAGGTTTTCACTCAAGGGCTCACCTAGAACCCACCACACTGGGTTTTACAAAATCACCCTCAGCCACTTCCTCAATTCAGAATTCAACGAGTTTCTAGGATCACCTGCAATCTCAACCACAGTCCTTAACTCACAATGGGTTTATAGGCTCCCCCACTACCTCTTTCACAATGCACAACTCACAATGGGTAGCCTACTACCACAAACTATCAGAGTCAAACAGGCACCAACACTTACCCCAACCTTTGCAATTTACAAAATAAATATCAATGGGTGGTAAACGTACCTCAACAATACACTAATAGGAAGAATTTATACCTTAAATTGAAGCCCAAAAGTTGTCCAAAGTTTGCTTTTCAAGATTCTCAAGCTTGGGCCAGTTGTTGATAGTTAGCGTATGATGAATACTCTAAGGTCATGTTTGATTCACAAGATTAATAGTGAGGTATTAATAATCCTATTAAATTAGTGTGGTATTCACTATCCAATTAGATTAATAGGATAAATTATCTATTGGATTAATAATTCCACCTCTACCCCATTACTAATAATCTTACAAATTTGTTGGATTAATTATCCATTGGATTAATAATCCTAAACCAAAATGTTAAAACAAACATAGGATAACTGGGCCCACGGATTAATAATCACAATCCCATGTTCTAATCCATCCAATCAAACATGCCCTAAACTCTCCCAAATCTCTCAAGATATGTTCTCTAACGTATATAGGTAATATTGGGTCTCAAATCATCAAGTTCTGGGTTTAAAATGAAAGAAACTTATGTATAATGCGTGTGTTCCAACTACTAGATAATGGCTAGTTTATTTTTTTCAAGCTGCACCCAGTTTGGCCGGCCAAAATAGTTGATCATTCAAGTCTGTTTGATTTCTTCCACCCGCAACACGGCTGACTTCAAAAGATTATTAACTCTCATTTCAACTCTATTTTGGGTGAAAATTGTGCTCAAATTGAAACTCTGTAAATCTAGTTTCATTTGAAATTGGTCGTACTCAAGTATTTTAAATTTTAAACTAGAACCTAAGTTATGGCCGATAAAAAATAAAAATAAAAACCTAGATCCTAAGTTATGGTTTTGGATGGCTAGGAGGTCATACTTCATTTACCAAAATGGTCACCAATCTTGACCAGGACCAGCATAAATGTCTTCCAAAGTCAAGTCTTTACCCTAGGTGGTTCTATTTAAGACATTTTGGTCTTCTTGTGTCACTTGGACATCCTTCTTGTTTATGACTTGAGTTCATCCTTCCTTGACTCTTTGATGCCTCTTTGAAATTGTCAAGTGCTTGAGGCTTGTATGAGTTTTCCCTTTCCATTATTCTTCACCCTCGCTACAATATAAGTCATGAAATTACCAAACCCTATGGTTCTAGACTTTAACTGTTTCTTCATGTTATAGATTGAAAGTTAGCATTGTGATTAGAAAGCATAAAATGAGATCAACATTCTTAAATAAAAAAAAGGGGCAAAATCCATTTTACCTCCCTATGGTTTGGTCCAATAGCATAGCCCCTGTCTTTTGAAAATAGCCAATTAACCCTCATGCAATTTTGGACTATATCGCTCCCGTTACATTTTCTGTCTAAAACTAATATAAATTATACTGCACATGCATTTTGAGAGAGTTGGGAAGAAAAATAATTAATTAAAGTCAACTTTTTAAGGCAACTTTTTAAGGTAAAAAGACAAAATCGCCCCTTTCACCATCTTTTCCACAAAAAAAAAGCCTAAATCTAAACCTACCGTCACCTCCTCCATCATGCCAGCCACCCCTTCCTTACTCTCCCACCTCCCAGCCACCCCCACTCCCTCCCACTTTCCCTTGCCATCCTCCCCACCTTCTAGATACCACCTCCCTCCCTGCCGCCCAGCCACCGTCTCCCTTCTCTCAACCAGTGGCCTGGCCACTGTACAAACTCCCCTGTCACTGCAATGTAATTGGCAGAATCTGCGATTCCTGCAAACCAAACAACAAAACTCATTCTTAACTTATTAAATAGTTCATATATATATGCACTATATATACACAGAGACTTGGGTAATATGTAATCTTGTTTCTGTGATGAAGAAATAATATGATATCGAGTTTGATTTTGGTCCCTTTTTTGAAATCGTCATGACAAATCTCAGCATTTGTCTGAGATTCACCTACCCTCCCATACTTCTACAGTTCTTCTATTGTTTAGCCATTTGTTCATTATGTTTCTTTTTTTGTTTACACTTCCAATTTTTTTTTTTTCAAACTCTGTTTTGCCTGCTAATGGTAATATATATATATATATATATACGTATATGAATATGAATATATTACAACTTAAGATGTGATTAAATTAGTAATTAGGTTACAAATTTAGAAATTAAGTTAGAAGTTAAAAAAATCAAATTTCTTAATTGAGGCAAGTTTGATTTATTTATTTATTTTTACATTTATTCTTACACAAATAATGAGAAGTAGAGGAAGAAAACAATTGTATAATTGTCTTTTTATCACTAAAGTTAACAGAGTTAGTATTGCAATTTAATCCACAACCACATGGGGGGCTTGTGGTTATTTTTAAAAGATAAGGGGTAAAGTGCTACGGGGACCATACCATAGGGAGGTAAATGAATTTTGCCAAAAAAAAAAAATTTTTTTTTTTGGACCATTGATTTAAAAGAATGCCAACACAGTTCTTGTCTATATTTTTTTGCTGATGCAAGTCTGGAAGCAAAAGCATATGCATTTTGTCTTTTGTACTCGGTGAACATTGAAAAAGGAGTTGTTCTGCTCTAAGAATCTAAGTAACAAATTGCTTACCTTGGCTAATATTTGTTTTCTTGTATCATTCTTTATTCTTCTCTTTTGTCTTTTTCCTTTTCTTGGTTGGACTGATCAACTTGGTTCTATTTCATCTTCTCTATGAAGTTTTATGTTTCTAGATTACCTTGTTGATAGTAGTGGTTTTTGTTTTCATTTCTTTGTTCAGCTTCTCTGTTGGATGGCATGGCAAATACTGGAATGGTTGAACTTGGAGAAGTTCAGCTTGCTACTTACCTTGCTGAGAAGACATTTACAGGGCAACCTTCCTTTCAAAATGGTAAATAGTTTATCAGATTTTAGAATAATTACCAGGAAACTAAAAAAAACTAGGACTCTTTGCCTCTACACACCTCCAAAATAGTTCATTGAGCAATCTTTGGGATTTTACAGAACAAAATCTCACCAAACAGATATTGATCTCCTAAGCTATGGATCAAATATTTGCTCTCTTTCATATAATTTACATGAATTATATGCAATGTGAATGATTAAGCACTGCAAACTAAATTTTAAAAAACTGCAAATGGAACCGCAAAATGATAGGACTGCATCCTGATATAAATGAACTGCACAAAGAATATATCGAGTTAATTGTGCAGGCTTGGGATGTAGAAGTATTTTTTTGGGTTGGTTAGATTAGGGCCAAGGTTGGACGGGCCTTGGGATAATGCATTTATTCTTACTATAAAGTGGAAGCCTGACCCAACCCAGTCAATGCCCACCCCTAGTAGACAGTAAATCTGGATTTTATAACTGAAATGATTGTCACTTGATTTTCTCCCTAGTAAGAACTTTCTATCACTTTCTGGAATTTAGTCATGCTTTCAATTGAATAAATTATTTTATATTTTCTTGTTTGCCATTTATATATATTGTTTGATTATGCTTGTTAAAGAGTTGGGAGAACAACTATTATTGTTATAAGCACTTGACTTCTTCCCCTATTTTAACTTCATTTGATATGTACAGGCTTGCCTTCACTCATTGCATTTCCCTCTGGATGTGACACTGCAAATTGTCTAATTAGGTGAGTTTCCGCCGGAGGTTTAAATTTTGAAAGCTGCCCTCATGCTGCATTGTGAGTTTTAAAGTCAACACACAAGCTTTATAACTTTGCACATTTCTATTTATGCCCAATGCAATCTCTCTCTATCTCTCTCTCTCTGTATATATATATATATATTATGGGATTTGTCTTATAATTTTCTACTTGATGGATTCTAAAGGAAATTTTAACATCATTTTGATTGTTTGATGCAGGTATAAGGGAGAGCTTTCTGTTGATGCTGTTACTAATTGGTTGGCAACCACGATCCTAAGTTTGCCTCGCATTCTATACTACTCAAAGGATTCATTGGTAATAAATACACTCTTTCCTGGGTCCATATGCACATTTTGTTACGACTAAATTGTGATGTAGGATAGTTTAGGAAACTTGGATGATGCTGTCTACACTTGAATTTTTAGTAGTTTTAGGGCCAAGAAAGGTTGTGGGCTTAGAGTTCAATAAGGTTGGATGGTTCTAGTGTTTGTGGTCGTAACACATTATAATTATCTTGAATTTTGAAGTTAATTTGTGGAGAATAAGGTAGAAGGAATGAACTTTTGTTGGGAGCGATTGACTAGGCTTGCATGACGTTGTAATGCTGGAGTGGAATTTCATAAATTGATGCACTGAAAAAGCAATATGACAAGAAATCATTATTTAGTTAGGAGTCTTTTCTGATAATTAGCATTTGATCAATGTCCTGCAATATTCTCTTGAATTTAATATTTGCATAATCATGACTAAGTTCATTATTGGATGGGGACTCCAGCATTTTTTTTTCTTTTGTCAACCCTTCGTTTTGTCTCACTCATGCTCTCTATTAAACTGATATAGGTTTGGGTAAGATGGGTAACAATTTGACCATGTTCTTTTCACTTAAAAAGAGACACTATTAACAGATGATGTCAATTTATTCTTTAAACTTTATGAATTAAAGCCCTTATTATTTCCTCCAATTTAGCACCCAAAACCTTTTTTTCTCCACATAATCATCACAACCCTCTCAACATAATCATCACATCCCTCTTCTCCAAATGAAACCTGAACGAAATCATCTTTGATGATTCACTTCCACCAACAGGTCCAAGACCCATATTTCTCTAGCAGCCCCTTTCCCTCTATCTTTTATCTCTCTCTCTTTGATTTTTATAGATCCACCATAATATGAGCCATAATGAATCCCATGCCCTCCACCTTTGACAATGGTAATGGGGTTGTTGTGTCCAATTAATGTATATGTAGAGAGAGAAGTTGTGGTGATAGATGATCTGGCTTAGAGTGACACATGTCACCATTTGGGCTAGTTATAACTTATATCAAGGGTAAAGTAGGCATTTCGAAATTTTAAAATATGATGTCATCATATTTCATTTTTATCACCAATGGTCAGTTAGCAACAAGAGGAAATCTATTGCATGATTTCCCAAATAGAGGAAGTCAGTGTAATTATTAATACCATAGGGTGGCAAGTGTATTGAAGCCAAACCTTTGGGGTGGACAGCATAATTTATCTTTAACCACTGGAGTTAGGCATTGGCGAGAACTGGTTTACATCATTAGGAGGTTATGGTTTGATTCCCCCCTTTCCTCAAATGTACCATGATAAAAAAAGAAAAAGAAAAAAAGAGTAGTAATTGATCCTCCTCTTTTTCATGTATGCTGAATTTACCATGCTCACGAAGCCATTAATTGGGGCAATTGTAAAAGGTTGGCAGACAAGTTTGAGAAAATCTGTTCAGCTGTGAAGGCTGCATCTCTGTGCGAATGATGGCAGACATTAGAGTTTTACCTAGTTTAGTCCTTCCTACTTCTCCATTGTCAAGCTGCATGCTTGCCTGACATAAATCACTAATGACTTTTGATATTCCTTTATCATTTTGCATAGTACTTTTAACTGAAACCAGCTTGCATTGGAGATAATAATGTTTCTCTTGCTTTCATGTTTTTTAATGGCCTTTTTATTGGAACTGATATGGAATTATATATTTATTCCAGCTACCAAGTTTTGTGGGAAAAAGCGGTCCTCATAAGGTACCAATTATTTTCAGTTCGCATATATTGCTAATCAGTCTATTTTATTTACTGTGTACTATGTAGTATTATTTTTCACTTTGATAATTTTGATTATAATTTATTGTCACACCAATAAAACTATTTAACAGTTACTACTTGACCAAAAATTATGATCCAGCAATCTTCTTATGGACCCTTGAAACAAATAAGAGGAAGAAAAGCTACGTGTAATCATGTCTTTAGTTCTTTTATTTCTTTCTGTGAAATCCAAGTGATATATTTTATTTTAGCTGACTGTGCTACCCATCCAAATTGATACTTTACAACATGATGATATGTAAGGCATGTGTTTCTTCTTTGATGACACTGCCGCACTCATTCTTGCACTGTTTGGTTTCAATACCATGGGTAGATTCATGTTTTCTTATTTTATTTTATTTTTATTTAAATTTTTTATGTCTATTATCATCCTTAATTGATTTTTCAATTCTGGATAACAGGTGAAAGTCATTTTCTTCTCAGAAACAGGGGAGCGTGCAGCTCCATTCTTGCGCCAAGCTGCCCTAAATTATTGGCCATGTGCTGCTTTCGCATTTGTGCCATGGCGAGAAGAGGAATCTTCCTTTTGGTGGAATGTGTACGTGTATTTTCTTTCTTTTCTTTTTTGGGAGAACGTATAGGAATGCTTTTTTTTTCCCCTTCCCTTTTTTAAAAAAAGAAAAAGAAAAGGAAAGATTAATATCTTAAGTGTTCTTACAAGCTTCCTTCGGAATAATTTCCTAGTTTTGTGAATAATCTTGTCTCTTTTTTTTTTTGATTGGCACCGGGTTGTCCGGATCAAAGCCCTACTAATCTCCCAATAATCTTGTCATTTAACCAGCAATAAATCTTAGAATAGTATCAGAACTATTTTATATTATTCCTTTCTTCATTGAACAGAAGCAACTATCATTATTCTTTCTTATATTGGCTTGAAGGATTGATGATAAATGGGGAATTCTTTTTGTAGCAAAGCCAGATTTTTTTGCAGTCACAACTATCTACTTCATGTTAACTTCTACTTTGATCTGGAAAGCTGTTATATCTTGGATAAGTGTAGTTATGAAATTTCTTTATTTATTGCAGTAGTAGGGGGTAGAAAACGTCTGTCGTCATGGTACCCATGACAATAACAAAGTGTTATGTGTGAACAAACAAAATCCTACTTATGTTATGAAGGAAGAAGAATGACAAGCTCAAATTTGATAGTGAAAATGTTTTTCTTGCCTCACATGGAAAGACTTCCACGAACTTTTTCTTTCAACGACATCTTTCTAAATTTCACCATGCAGTTGTATCCTTAAAGGGGATACCAATTTTCATTTCAGTATTATATGAAATATAAGGCATTTGAATGTTCAGGATGTTTCCCTGTAGCCCTATCCATCCCTTGTATGTATTTTGAGCCAAGTCCCATCATAAGATCTGGGGTTCTGGAAGAGGCTTGACAGTTAGATCCATTATATCTACCAGAGTCTATGATACACAACTTTAAAGCTGTCAGGGTCTGATTATTCATATTTCAAATCCTTTTCAAAATCTTGTTCAAACTTTTAAAATTTTCATTTCATTCTTCTGTTTTGTAATCTCAATTAGGATCACAAATGTTCTGTATCATTTCATGCTTTTGCTGGCATCTCCTTAAATTTCTATGTGAAGATTATGAAATCAACCTCCAAGCATATTTATTTCTTCTATTTTGCTTTTGCTGATTAAATTACAGAATAAGTTTTTAGATGAAAATCAAGTGAGGAAAATTCTTTTCATCAGTGTTGTTGAATACATGCCATGTATTGTTATATCATTTTTGTTTATTGTGTATCATGTCTCGTGTCTCATGTCATATCATATATAATAAAATACATTAACATATATGACTACAAATTGTGGGTAAGAGAAGTTAGAGGCGATCGGTCATTGACCTCTGGGAAGGTGGCAGGCACTTAAACGGCCCAAGATCATCGGAGGTGGAAGAGGAGAAGACCAAGGTAGGCTTAGAGAGGAAAGGGGTGGCAGTGAGAGACCTTGAACACTTTGTATATGTTGTATGATTCGTGTTGCTCTTGTTATGATTGTGGTTGCAGTTATGATGCCATTATATAGACTCTAGGAGTATTGGAGCTCAAGCAATCTCAAGACAGGTGGCGAGTTCTCCTCAACTCGACAGGAGGGTGATATTAGCCCTACTAGTTGTGTATTATGATTCAGGTCATTGGGAAGGTTGCATCATAGGAGCTGCAAGTGTAGGTATGATATCTTGAGAGGCGTATCGTATATGCAATAGGTAGGTATAAGTGTAAGGTTAATGTCCCTTTTCTCTAAGCTAGGTCAAGGTGGAGCTATCACTGCAGGGAGACAGTTACACGACCTTGATGATCTCGAGGTCTTAGCCTCCAATTCACAATCCTTGAATGATCCCAGGTGGGAGTGCTTAGGTCCTGCTCCCAACCTAGGCAGCCAAGGGGATGAGTGCATGGGTGAGCCAATGGCTCATCCTGAACAGCTAAGTAAACATAGGTGAGTCAACGGTCCAACTATGTTGCTATGGAGTTGGGGTGAGTGTATAGAGAACATATTTCTTATGAGTCATGAAGGGCCATGGAGAGCTCTAGGTGAGCTGTGGTCCTGTTTTCATACTTGGTAGTGTGCATGCCCGCGCTTAGGCTAGGCATACAACCTCAACCCATCGTGATGCCTTAGGAGTCTGCCACGTGAATGTGTGACGGTGATGACATGACGCCCGTAGGGCTCGCCACGTGCCAAGCATGATATAGATACCCACACAGATAAATAAATAAAAAGTACTTTCATATGACACATAAATATATTGAAAAAATGAAGTACTAAAGCATTTAACCAATGACATGAAAATTAATCTCTAAAAACTTGCAAATTCGACAAAAAGGTAAATATGCATTCATTAGAAACCCAAATATCCAACTAATAAGAAATTGGAAAGAAAATTCAAAATTTAATATAACAAAAGGATTAATGAGATTTCATTGCAAATATAAAAATAGTACAAGATTTTTGTTTTCCAGTTGAGCCCAACTTCTTGGTCGGTAGTTCGTTTGGTTCCTAGTTTGCAGCCAAAGACTTTCTTTAGGACTTGGATGATGAGTATAGCTTAAACATACTTGTTATGAGGTATATGGTCATAGTCCAAACAAGCCTTTTGGCCCAAATCTTGGGTCTCAACCCAATTCCAAATGGTCTGTGTGTGTAAGCTCTTTGTTTCTTTCACCTGAATTAGATTCATGATAGTTGTTCAATTTTTTTGTAGCAAAGGGAGTATGAGAGTCTTTTTTGCTTTAGGGTTTATTTGGGTTTGGGTCTCCTTGGTATGGGGTTTTTTGATAATATGGTTTTGGATTGTTCAACGAGTGCGGGCAATGGCAATTGACATTGCGAAATGCTGTTAATAGGGCTAAAGGTAAAAGAGATGGTATTGATAGCTAATCAAGAAATACATGCTAAATTGTGATACAATATGAAATTGATACAATGCAAAACGTATCTCACGATTCAATCTACCAACATATGAATCCGCAATACATATATTTTTCATAACGATTCTGACAACACTACTTTTGATATTTAATCGTCATGTCTTTTCTGAAATTTTCTTTTTCTTTTTCTACTTTTTTGTTCCTTTTTTCTGGAAGGCATCTATTTTTTTGTTCCTTATTAAATAGTTCAGAGAAGAATTGACTGTTCTCTTTTCGTCTTTTTCGTCAATTATGCATCAGGCTAATGGGCTTATTGGTTAGAAAGATTGGTTACTCTAACCAGCATACTGGACTGTACATTATTTTTTGGGAGACTAATTTTGGTTCCCTTTCCCCTTCCAATCTTTGGAAACTTGATCATGAAATGCCACCTTCAAAAATGTGGTGCTTCATAATTTTTTTCCAAAATAGAGTATGATCTTGATGGTGTTCTTATTATCAACAGCAGGTTTGGAGTGGAATCTGCACCTGCAATTTTATTTTTAAAAGAACATGGTGTTAAACCTGTTGTGTACCATGGTATGTCACTCTCTTTTTATTTCGTTTCATAGTATTTCGTGGTACTCTTTGTAACATAAATAATGTGTACACAACAAGTTAACATAAATAATGTGTACATAACAAGCTAAGCAGTGCACATTATCTGCCGGACCTGCCAACAATTCATGGTTTGTAGATATAATGGAACAGAATAAACATCAAGGTAGTGCTGTTTGTTTGTACTTTATCAAGTTTTATAATCTAGGGCCTTGACTTGACACTATAACAAAATTTGCCTTGTCATATTACTTGAGTGAGTGCAACCATTGTGTAAATGGTTTGTTACAGTGATTCTAATGTGCAAGTAAACCTCATGTGATTGACAAGTGCAAACTGTTAGCTTCATGATTATTTGGAGGTTCTTGCTGTCATCAGTCTTTTTATCCAACGACTAGAGTCCTTTATGTAGTTATTTTCTTCAGCAAAACGGGAAAAAATCTAGATTATATTTTGATATTTTTTTCTGGGAACTGTACCAATCATTTCTCTGTTCTTGAAACATTGGATCAGCTAATTTGACTATGAATTGTTTCCTCAGTACTTGTTTTCCTATGTAGAAATCTTCCTTGATAATTACCTTCACATGAATTGAATCAGACAGAACTTGTCAGGTTATGATTTTGTTTTCATTTGATAGGATGTTGTGTTGCAACCTTTTTTCTGTATTGTGTAAATTTGTGGTATCATCTTTTGTCAAATGTGACCCTCCTTATAAAGTAATCCTTTTTCTTTAGATTTTACGAGAGTACAAGCCTGCAGAGTATCCATCATTTTTCCCACATAGTAGAATAAATGACTCAGCAATGCATCCTGCAAAGTTGCTTGTGACGGATCGTCTTATATCTGCATTTGAGAGTTACTGGGAAACTGACTAGGTTGTGTTTATTGGTTTCAATAGGTTGTGCTATTATACAAATATTATTATAGATATCCTTTAGCTGATTTAGTTTACTTCTGTGATCTACTAAATGCTCGTAAGTTGTTCTATGTTGAGATTATGGTTATCATGGACGAGAGATTAGACAAAGCATTCTTTGTTCCCATGAAGCAAGGCATAAATACAACCTTTTTAATATATTAAACTATAAAAACATGAATGATAAACGATAAATAAAAGGAAAGAGCAAAACACAGGATAGTCTCATCAAAATTTCCAATCCGCATTCTGACATAGGGTTGCAAAGGAGTCAGTTTTGTGTTGCTTAAATCCCTTTACATGTATGTAAATTCTTGGTTTTTGCCAGAATATGTTAGCTTCCTTTAATAAAAAAATAATAATAATGCTACAATATACCATAAAAAAGTTTGAAAATGAATATACTAGTTAAAACAATGAGAAAGTTACAGATTTGTTAGCAGAAATATCGACATTTTTCGGTTGGCTTAAAACATGTTCCCAAGGAGGGAGGGAGCACAAGTAAAAAAGGTAGAAATGTTAATGAACCTCAGTGCAAATATCAGGATTTTTTATCCCCACTTGTGAATGTTTGAACCTTAACGTTGTGCATATTGTGTTGTTTTTGAAAGTAGTGGTGTTATAAAAATTTTGAGGTTGGAGTGCATGAATTAAAAAGTGGGTGATTGTTTTAGTGATTGTTTAATTAATTGGAGTTTTGCGATTGTTTTAGGGAGTTCCTTGTTGGTTTTTTGGTTGAACTAATTTTAGGTTGAGTTTGATATATATATTTATTTTCTATTTTAAAAAAGGTGGTAGCCTTGCGCTGATAAAGATGGTTGTTATGTGCAACAAAGACTTGTAGATGCAATAGTAAGTAAAAGTGATATGATCACCATAAATGAAAACGTTAGGAGGGGAACTTAGAAAATATGAGGAAGAAGAACTCCGAAAATATGAGGAAGAAGGAATATATTTCTGTTATATTCAAAACTTCTTATCTTACAAGACCAAATGACACTCCTTATATAGGAGATATTACAAACAGCATTATAACCCATTATATGCCACTTACATATTATATATTACCACTATCTACCACTATCATATTATATACATGCCACTATCTACCACCAACAACACTATCATATTCTATACATGCCACTATCTACAACCAACACCACTATCATATTCTATACATACCACTATCTACCACCAACACCACTATCATATGCCACTATCTTATTATATGCATTAACACAAATTTCCAGCACAAAATACTAGCTCGAAGCATTATGGAAATTAAGTAGTCATCATAAACAGCAATAAGTTCACAAACCAGTCCTATCAAAAGTTGAAAAATACACTGATTACTTAATTCATTATTAACCAAGAATTCTCAATACTCCTAGAGAAGCAACATCAGACCAAAGCATTCTACTTGGTATTTTACCTCAAAGCCTGCATCAAATGGAAGAAGAGAGCCAAGGTCTTTCTTGTTGCCACTAAAATAACTTCCTGAGCTAAAATTAACCTGTCCACAGAATAATTATGTTAGCAAACATTTCAAACTGAGGACAAGTGCAAACATCCTTGACAAGTTCCTCAATCCAATCCAGCTTGACCCAAAAACATCAATCCAATGTGTTAAAAACCAGACAGGGTAAGAAAGATCAGCCAGAAAAAATGGTAACCAGTCTAGCAAACAGTCTGGATGACCCCCTTAAGCCGTTCCCAAGCAAAAAGCACTCTCTTTTTGCAAAATTGCTTAAACCCATGGTTGAACCAGTACCCCACGAGGGACCCATGAAACAGGCTGCTCTGAGTCCTTAAATAGTTTATATATTGTAGGAAATGGACCATTTTCCATGTGACGAGGGAATTAATCAATCACTTGTTGCTGTGGCATTAATTACACTATATTATCCAAAATACCACGAGTAGCTTAAATCTGAATTTTGACTCATTCATAACCAAAAGTATCAGGGAAAACTTGAAACTGAACTAAAATTTTACCCAAAGAATAAAAAATACAAACTAGTAACTACCACATACTAAGATATGATGGACAACAAAAACTACCACACAACTACCATTGCTTGATAGGCACGTGAATGATCAGTATGATTGAGTCAAATCATGCCACATTGTGAGCACTAAGACATCTATTGTGCAACCACAACGGATAGCCAGTCATGCAGTTGAACTATCAAAGTCAATTTGATTTTAAGAGGCTGATTGAATCATCAATTTTCAAGATATCCAAACTATGAGTGAATGAGACTTGAGCAAGTTCCCACCAATCATCAATCCAACAAAACAAATTAAAATCAAGCTCAGTAGAGCCACAAACTTACATCACTAGCATTGACGCCAGCATAAATGATTTTCACCAGGACATGATCTGGTTTGATTGGTAACCTCAATGGCGTACGCACTACGCTGGTAGCACTACGAAAATTGTGGCTGAGGGTGTGGACAACTCTGGAGAACAAAAAATTAAAGAAGTCAATGTCAAAACAAAAACAAAAACAAAAAAGAAACATCTGTTGGCTATTCAATAAAACTGAACACATGACAAGTAATCCACTAGATTGGAAGATTCTGCCATAATGAAAATGAAACAAATATGAACTAAGTAACGAGAAGAAAAAAGGAGGCATATTCTGAAGCTATATATGTAGAAGAATTATCAACTGCATGACAAAACCATAGCCTAAAATGCTGATAAAAAAGAAACCATAGCCTAAAATGAGTATCTAAAAGCTTGTCACTAGCATAAAGAACTATAAAAAAGTAGGGGAAGATTGATTATTCTTCAACCAGAGCTGCCAAATCACATCCATAACAAACTTCATCATGAAACTTTATTTCATTTTATAAGAACCTCCCTCTTTAACTAGTGCAGAAGAATGGATATTGTAATTACTGAAACTGAAAAGCCAAAAGTCATATCATCAATTAGTTCTCTGGCAATACCTAACTCAACTTGATGTGTTTCAATTGATTATAAGACATTATAATAGACAAGTATGATACTTCAATTTTTACTTTTTCATCATTACTTCAAAGATTTAATAATTAAAAAATAATAATCCAAGGCAGGGGGCTCCTTGCCCACAAAACCAAATGTGAGGGTTACAAAGAGCTTAATTTTTTAATTCAAACATTAAGGACAGATATTGATTTGCATTGCCCAATAAAAATTAAAGGAAGAAAAACAATCAAGGACGACAGATAATACTCCCCCAATTCTTATCCAGCCTAGTCCTTTGCACATTAAAAACTATAGCAGGATGCTAGGAGCATTGGATAGATGACAATTCTAACAGTAGCATTACTCATGGCTTCTCTCAAACTCTTTTTTTTTTTCCCAGTGGTAAAAGAAACAACATGCTGCAACAAAATCTATGCCAACTAAGTTGGTCCAAGAATATCTCACCACAGTTCAACTAGTGTTACATTATCCGACTAATTAAAACAGCAACAAGAATTTTTCAGGCCGATATAAGTAAATCAAGGTATTCAATGCGTCTCAGTGAGCCAAAGATGTACAAATTCAATTTTTACCACTAAAAGTGAACACCGTTATATCACAGCCCCATCAACTCTAATAGGTTAAAAAAAAAAAAAAAAAAAAAAAAAAAAAAAAAAAAAAAAATTTCAAAAGTCAGGGGGCGCACATGACCCCCCCGGCCCCCACATCCCTTCGCCCCTGCACATAATACATAACTGAAAAGTACGTACGCATGCATATGTGCATAAACAAATGCTAAAGATCTATGCTAACATTTGTATGAGTCAAATTTGCAAACTTTTAAACACAATAATCCTCAAGCCACAACAATTTTCCAAATGCTAAAGTTCATACAATAAGATATAGTTTTGGTAATTTGATTAATCAATAATAAAGATGAAGTGTTAAATTCTTTCATTAAATGGAAAACGCCAAGGAACATGTTTCCTCCATGTAAAGTGTATCACAAGTAAAAATATAACGAACTTATGTAAAAGCATATAAACAGAACTAAATTAATAGCACAAGAACAAATTCAACACAAATGCAGCATAACATTATACAAAAGACATAAAAATCATATATACTACTTGAAAACAATTCACTGTCTGAATGATTTATTGTATACAAAAAAAAGTAGTCACTAAACATTCATCTGGTAGTAACATGCTTCATCACTGGTAATTGTTTGTGTTTTTGTAATGGTATTTAGATCCTGTAAGAGATATATACAACCCAGCTAACCTTTGAAAAGGAGACATGAGAATATAAATGCATGATAATTCAACCTCTGAGGTCAGTATCAATCACTTTAATGGTGTGGGTGATAGAGATTAGAGGCGATCGATCGTTGACCTCTAGGAAGATGGTAGGCACTTCAATGGCCTGAGATCATCGAAGGTGGAAGAGGAGAAGACCAAGACAAGTTTAGAGAGAAAAGGGGTAACAGTGAGAGACCTTGAACACTTAGTGTATGTTATGTGAATTCTTGTTGCTCTTGTTGTTGTTATTGCTAGCTACTGCACTTATGATACCGTTATATAGACTCCAGGAGTTTTGGAGCCCAAACAACCTCAAGACAAGTGGCGAGTTCTCCTCGACTCGACAGGAGGGTGATATCAGCCTTACTAGCTGCGTCCTATGATTCAGGTCCTTGGGAAGGTTGCACCATAGGAGCTGCAGTTGTAGGTGTGATATCTTGAGAGGCATATCATATGTGCATCAAATGTAAGTGTAAGGTCAACGTCACTTTCTCTAAGCCATGTCAAAGGAAGAGCTGTCACTGCAGGGAGACAGCTACACAACCTTGATGTTCTCGAGGTCTTAGCCTCCAATCCATAATCCTCCAATGATCCAAAGCGGGAGTGCCTAGGTCCTACTCCCAACCTAGGCAGCCAAGAGGGCGAGTGCATGGGTGAGCCAAGGGCTCATCCTAAGCAGCTAAGTAAACAAAGGTGAGCTAAACATAGGTGAGCCAAGAGTCTGACTATGTTGTTATGGAGCTGGGGTGAGTGGGTAGAGAATATATTTCTTGAGTTATGAAGGGCCATGAAGAGCTCTAGGTGAGCCAGCTCTATTAAAGTGAGTTGTGGCCTTGTTTTCATACTTGGTGGTGTGCATGTCCCCGCTTAGAACTCACCGTGATGCCTCAGGGGTCTACCATGTGGATGTGTGATGGTGATGACGTGACGCTCGTAGGGCTTGCCACGTGCCAAGCATGATATAGATACCCACACAGATAAATAAATAAAAAGTACTTTCATATGATACATATATATATTGAAAAAATGAAGTACTAAAGCATATAATCAATGACGTGAAAAATAATCTCTAAAAGCTTACAAATTCAACAAAAAGGTAAATATGCATTCGTTAGAAACCCAAATATCCAACTACTAAGAAATTGGAAAGAAAATTCAAAATTTAATATAACAAAAGGATTAATGAGATTTCATCGCAAATATAAAAATAATACAAGATTTTTGTTTTTTAATTGAGCCCAACTTCTTGGTCGCTAGTTCATTTGGTTCCCAATTTGCAGCCAAAGACTTTCTTTAGGACTTGGATGATCAGTATGGCTTAAACATACTTGTTATGAGGTATATGGTCATAGTCCAAACAAGCCTTTTGGCCCAAATCTTGGGTCTCAACCCAATTCCAAATGGTCTGTGTGTGTAAGCTCTTTGTTTCTTTCACCTGAATTAGATTCATGATAGTGGTTCAATTTTTTTGTAGCAAAGGGAGTATAAGAGTCTTTTTTGCTTTAGGGTTTATTTGGATTTGGGTCTCCTTGGTATGGGGTTTATTGATAATATGGTTTTGGATTGTTCAACGAGTGCGGGCAATGGCAATTGACATTGCGAAATGCTGTTAATAGGGCTAAAGGTAAAAGAGAAGGTATTGATAGCTAATCAAGAAATACATGTTAAATTGTGATACAATATGAAATTGATACAATGCAAAACGTATCTCACGATTCAATCTACCAACATATGAATCCGCAATACATATATTTTTCATAACGATTCTGACAACACTACTTTTCATATTTAATCGTCATGTCTTTTCTGAAATTTTCTTTTTCTTTTTCTACTTTTTTGTTCCTTTTTTCTGGAAGGCATCTATTTTTTGTTCCTTATTAAATAGTTCAGAGAAAAATTGACTGTTCTCTTTTCGTCTTTTTCGTCAATTATGCATCAGGCTAATGGGCTTATTGGTTAGAAAGATTGGTTACTCTAACCAGCATACTGGACTGTACATTATTTTTTGGGAGACTAATTTTGGTTCCCTTTCCCCTTCCAATCTTTGGAAACTTGATCATGAAATGCCACCTTCAAAAATGTGGTGCTTCATAATTTTTTTCCAAAATAGAGTATGATCTTGATGGTGTTCTTATTATCAACAACAGGTTTGGAGTGGAATCTGCACCTGCAATTGTATTTTTAAAAGAACATGGTGTTAAACCTGTTGTGTACCATGGTATGTCACTCTCTTTTTATTTCGTTTCATAGTATTTCTTGGTACTCTTTGTAACATAAATAATGTCTACACAACAAGTTAACATAAATAATGTGTACATAACAAGCTAAGCAGTGCACATTATCTGCAGGACCTGCCAACAATTCATGGCTTGTAGATATAATGGAACAGAATAAACATCAAGGTAATGCTGTTTGTTTGTACTTTATCAAGTTTTATAATCTAGGGCCTTGACACTATAACAAAATTTGCCCTGTCATATTACTTGAGTGAGTGCAACCATTGTGTAAATGGTTTGTTACAGTGATTCTAATGTGCAAGTAAACCTCATGTGATTGACAAGTGCAAACTGTTAGCTTCATGATTATTTGGAGGTTCTTGCTGTCATCAGTCTTTTTATCCACCGACTAGAGTCCTTTATGTAGTTATTTTCTTCAGCAAAACGGGAAAAAATCTAGATTATATTTTGATATTTTTTTCTGGGAACTGTACCAATCATTTCTCTGTTCTTGAAACATTGGATCAGCTAATTTGACTCTGAACTGTTTCCTCAGTACTTGTTTTCCTATGTAGAAATCTTCCTTGATAATTTCCTTCACTTGAATTGAATCGGACAGAACTTGTCAGGTTATGATTTTGTTTTCATTTGATAGGATGTTGTGTTGCAACCTTTTTTCTGTATTGTGTAAATTTGTGGTATCATCTTTTGTCAAATGTGACCCTCCTTATAAAGTAATCCTTTTTCTTATAGATTTTACGAGAGTACAAGCCTGCAGAGTATCCACCATTTTTCCCACATAGTAGAATAAATGACTCAGCAATGCATCCTGCAAAGTTGCTTGTGACGGATCGTCTTATATCTGCATTTGAGAGTTACTGGGAAACTGACTAGGTTGTGTTTATTGGTTTCAATAGGTTGTGCTATTATACAAATATTATTATAGATATCCTTTAGCTGATTTAGTTTACTTCTGTGATCTACTAAATGCTCGTAAGTTGTTCTATGTTGAGATTATGGTTATCATGGACGAGAGATTAGACAAAGCATTCTTTGTTCCCATGAAGCAAGGCATAAATACAACCTTTTTAATATATTAAACTATAAAAACATGAATGATAAACGATAAATAAAAGGAAAGAGCAAAACACAGGATAGTCTCATCAAAATTTCCAATCCGCATTCTGACATAGGGTTGCAAAGGAGTCAGTTTTGTGTTGCTTAAATCCCTTTACATGTATGTAAATTCTTGGCTTTTGCCAGAATATGTTAGCTTCCTCTAATAAAAAAAAAAATAATAATGCTACAGTATACCCTAAAAAAGTTTGAAAATGAATATACTAGTTAAAACAATGAGAAAGTTACAGATTTGTTAGCAGAAATATCGACATTTTTGGGTTGGCTTAAAACATGTTCCCAGGGAGGGAGGGAGCACAAGTAAAAAAGGTAGAAATGTTAATGAACCTCAGTGCAAATATCAGGGTTTTTTATCCCCACTTGTGAATGTTTGAACCTTAACGTTGTGCGTATTGTGTTGTATTTGAAAGTAGTGGTGTTATAAAAATTTTGAGGTTGGAGTGCATGAATTAAAAAGTGGGTGATTGTTTTAGTGATTGTTTAATTAATTGGAGTTTTGCGATTGTTTTAGGGAATTCCTTGTTGGTTTTTTGGTTGAACTAATTTTAGGTTGAGTTTGATATATATATTTATTTTCTATTTTAAAAAAGGTGGTAGCCTTGCGATGATAAAGATGGTTGTTATGTGCAACAAAGACTTGTAGCTGCAATAGTAAGTAAAAGTGATATGATCACCATAAATGAAAACGTTAGGAGGGGAAGATCCAAATTGAAATGTGATGTTGTAGTAAAAAATGATTTGAATTTATTAAATTTAATTTGTCATATAGCCTTTAAGATTTGCAAAAAAGTAGAGAGGTGATGTGACCTAAAAAAGATTAAAATAAAAATAAAAATATATGCTATTGTAGGGGATGCCAAACAACCCCATTTGGTGACATCTTTGCTGTGGAGAGAATTTGGAGCTGGCCTGTCTAGCTCGAGACAGATAGCAATTGATAGAGGGGTTGTTGTTAGTGATATGTGAGGAGGGAGAGAGATCAAATCTTTTGGGACTTTTGGGCCTAATTTTAGTCTTGTTTGACATGGCTTGGGTCTTCCTTTCAAATGTTTGGGAGCTTTTGCTTTCTTGGAGGGTAGCCAGAGTTGAAAAGAGAAAAAAGAGGCGATTGGCAGCTAGGACCTCCCATTTTATTTTGGAGCATCTGGATGGAGCTTAATAGAAGAAGTTTTGATGGTGTTAAGAGTCTTAAGGCTTTCATTTTTGTTTTAAAGAGTAGAATTCTAACCATCTTCTACAATTGGATCTTGAGGGGTGTTGAGCCTTCATTGAATCCTTTTTTGAATTTTGTTGACAATTTTGAATATATTGATGGATAGGAGTTGTTTTTTATTGGGATATATTTACATATACATGTATAACACAAACCCGATTACCGATTATACATTTTTGTGAAACTAACTGTAATACATTGGTTTATTCTCCATTCCTTATTTTTAGAGCTTCCACAATTGAGAAGTGTGACATCCATAGAGCTGGGTTGTGATGCCCGTGGCTATTCTCGTGCCGGAAATGAAACGGCAATTTGGTACTGTGTTATTCTAGTGGGAAGATCAAGCCCAGAACTCAACACAATGTGTGCAGTAAGTTTGTTTGCCCTGCTTGTTATGTTAAATTAAATCCCCACTTGGTAGTTATTTCCTAGAAATGATTTAGCTACTTCGTTGGGAAATCATTGTCTAGTGATGCCAGCTGATTTTTCTAAACTTTGAAGAGAAATCTTCATAAATTAAAATAGACAACTACCTAAGAAAGAATATAAAAGGTAACTTAAGGAAAATAGTAGAGAAAGTGGTTAGAAAGAAAACACAGAATGTGAAAGAACTTTGTTTGTTGAATCCTGGCAAGCTGATGTTCATTTGAAGTTATGACACAGAAAGTGTACTCATTCAAAGTTTGACATTGAATATAACAGAAAGATTCATGTATGCATGCCCAAATGCTAGTATATTCTTCTAGTTTACTAAATGGAGTACATTACTATGATAAAGACTCTGCGCAGGATCCAAGAAGCACTGTCCACAGTTGATAACGATCAGCCGTCGTCGCTAGTGGCTGTTGCACTGAAGGAAAAGCGGTTGACATTTACCTGGCTTGATGGGGAAGCCCAACAAGTGAGTGTCATCTTTTGTTTGTCTGGCATGTCAATGTTTTCCAAGTTTAGTTGTAGTTGAATTCACATTTGTAGTAGTGAATGGATTAATTACTTTGAGGGTAGTGTATGTGATGCTGTATGTATGGTACTTGGTAGGAATTTATTCTGAAATTTAATCTCTTTGTCGAACTTAGTTGGGATCACTATTGGCATTGGAAGATTTTTGCCAAAGTGCCAGTATCTTAATCCAAATGGTGGCCTAAGTTGGAAAAGGTGGTCAGTGATTATTGCTGTTATAAATTCTGATAGTGTTATACTGCCATAAAATGATGTGAAATTATTTACATTACAAATCATTCAATCTAATAGCAGGATAAATTTTGAAGCATTAAATGCTAAAACCACATGTGACCTTTGGAGTGAAAATGCAGGGTATCAAAAAACATCGTCACAACTTCCTTATGCGCTATACTCTCGTGCTGTAAGCAGCTGAGAATTTCTACTTGAAACTTTTGGAAATGTCCAAGAATCTGATTGCATTCATAAACCTTTTGACATCTGAATATGGTTTTTTGAGAAGATTATAGAGGCCTATCACTGATTTGGAATTTTAAGATATAATTGTCATTTTTATGGCTCTTCTTTTCCTTTCATTAAAGAAAATAAAATTTCTAGTACTTTTAATAATCTTTCAAAATATGTGTTATTAATCTTAGAAAGTTATTGTATGATTCAGAGTTTTAAAAGGCTTTCCTGAGGCTCGCCTTGAGGCTAAGGTAAAACGCATCAATGCTTTGATTTTTAAGCATTACTCCCCAAAGGCTTGCGCATCATAGTTTGAGACATGCGCCTTTGGTGCGCTTTGTACGCTTTTTGTGTATAAACATGTGAGGAGTATGCACATGCAGAGGTTGCCTTGGGCTTTGGTTAAACTTAGTCTATTGGATTGTTTAAATATAAAAAAATAAAAAAATCCATTTTTACAACTATATTTTACAGGAAAAATTAAGTAAATAATCAATCAAGAAAAAACACAGTTAATGATCAAGTGAGAAGCTCAATCACTGAAGTTAAGAATATCAATTTCACTTTCAGTGAAGGAAAACTTCATTCTATGCAGTAAAATGTTCAACGCATTAAAGCGAAAAGTATTTACACTTCTATATTTAATTTTGTTTTTATTTTTTTAATATTTTAAAATATTTGATTTATTCACTAAATATTAAAATTTGAAATTTGAAATGCTTATGCTTCAACGCCCTAAGGCTTACGTCTCGCCTCATGAGGGGTAAAACGCCTCGAGGTACGCATTCGTCTTTAAAAACTTTGGTATGATTTGAGCCACAAATCCTACAATATGTCATGTTTATACAAATATATTGTGTATTTAAAAGATGTATTGAGGCTAGCTTCGAGATGAGGCTAAGGTAAAATGCATTGAGTTTTTTTTAATTATTTTTGGGCGAAACTCTCCACAGACTAGCACATCATAGTTTGAGGCGTGCAACACATGTGCACCTTGTACTCCTTTTGTAGATAAATATGAGGAGCTGTATTACATGGACTCTTATATTTCCCCCACAGTACCTGTGTCCACTGGATATGACATTGGTAAGGGTGTGAGATATGTGTCCGACACTTGTACCCAATTTAGGCACTCAGATGCTTTAATTTGCGACAATACATGAAGAAGAAAAAACTCACATTTGTTAGTAAAGTAATATTTTTAGCCTCTCACATGAATTAGATATAAAAATTTCATATTTTTCCTATATCTTATTTAATTTCTAGTATATTTTTACACAATTTACCACATCTCATCTAAGAATATTATATAAAATATAATATATGTGCACATATAACGTGTCCCAGTATCCATATCTAATTTTGGATACGTATCCCAAGATTTAAATTTATGAAGGTTTGACGCTTGGATACACACCTGCACTTAATACTAGTACTTGAGTCCCATGTAACAATACATATATGGAGAGCTTGTCTTGGGTTGTTGTTAAGCTTATTATAATACCTAGTTGTTGTTGTTGTTGTCGTCGTCGTCGTCGTTGTCTTTTTTTTTTTTTCTTTCTAATACCTAGTTTATATTTAAACAAAAAAAAAATAAGAACCTCTTCTATAACCATCATATTCCATGGTAAAAACCAAGAAAAGTATAAAGCAAAGACTCGAGGAAGAAATTCAATAGCTGAAACTAAGTGTTAGTAATGGGCGCCCATGTGGCATGACCATTTAAATTTAACATTTGATCCTTATCCAAATAGGTTTTGATTTTGAAATCAAACCTATTTAGGATAACCACTCTTGAAACAGACGTTATCAGTTTGAACTGATATAGATAGATATAATATATATTAGATATTATCTGTATCTTAACTGATATGGATAGATATTATAATATATTAAATATCTGATATGGTTATGGGTAATCAGAGAAAAAGGAAAAACAACGTAGTCTGTTTTTCTACCCACATTCTGACTCTCTCCCAAAAACACAACGATCAAGTCTTTGACACTGTGGTTAGTGTGGGTGATATTCAATCTGTGATATCACTCCACTGCTGGGTTGGTTCATCAAGAAGTTTCCTGGAAGCACGTGATTTATCCAAGAAGGTTCTATCATCAAGAAGGTATGATCTGATCATTTTAATCCGCTGCATATTCTGTATATTTTTTTTTTACA